ATGAAATGATTAGCGACGATGCTGTACAATTATTTATATCCCACCCCCTTTGTCTTTCCTAAGTTTCCCATTCCCCTGCCTGCACCCAGGGCTGTGGTTCCCCAAAGACCATCCTTAGAGAGAAAGGAACGAGATAAGGACAAGGTGCATATGTAGCAGCTGGTTTTAATATTTTATTTCCGCTTCCCTCCCTTTCCCCCCTCTAATCTCTTTGCAAACCGGGAGGGAAATGCAGCGTTTTAGGGGTGACAGGCAAAGGCGGTAATGAAACGCAAGCTTCATTCAAATGTGAGAATGATGTTTATTTATTTGCAAATGAGAAATTATGCAAACCCTCCGTGCCTACCTGTATGCTCAAATTGCCCAGGGGCTCGTCTAAAGTCGCATCAGCGGTAAACAGCGTCTATCAGGTGCCTCTGCTTAAATAGCATTGCAATCGGTTATTTGCAAGGCAAGCTCACATGAATGTTTGTTTCATTAAAATGCCATTCAAGTTTTGATGTGGCTCTTTTGTGGAGTAACAACCAGGAAAGGAATGGGGTGGGGAGAATTGTTCAGGCTGCTTTGTTAATATTTATTGGCTTGTGCCGGCTTGCTAGGGTGGATGGGAACAGACGCTTGCAGATATGAAAAGCATTTCGACAAAGGGCGCTGATGAAAAAATATATAGTTCAAGAGATAACATATGGACCTTATTTCAGCTCAGACAGTTAAACATGCAGCGTTGAGTACACTGCACAAAGCTGTAACTAGGCATTTCGGTTCCCAGCACAGAGTTTAAAATGTGCTAGACTGGAGTCCAATTTACATGTTGGCATCGTGTTGCTACTGTAAATCTGCTATCCCTGTGCAATTTGCAAGAGTGCTGATCACACATGGGGCAGCCATTTCTGGATACTTACTGAGTAACACTGGGATGCAATCAAATGTGGGTTGGGGTGTTGGCCTGACGGTGGAGTAGGAATAGATGAGAATTTGTCACACTTACTTATTCTCTGTATTTCATGGCTGCTGTGTCAGGGACTGTGCTGAGGAGGACTGCACTGAGGAGGAATGGTGGCAGCCACCTCCTCCCCCTGCTCCTGCTCCTGAATTTTCCCAGGAGCAGGAGGACAGTATAGATTTGGAACAGTGGTTTGCAGAGGGGCATAGTTCAGAAGGCAGAAGCTGGGAAATACTGGATGGGGAACAGCTAGCAGAAGAAACACTGGAAGAGAGAGAGTTAACAGATTCACAGTCTCTGGATAGCATCCACCCCCCTTCTCCAAAGTCACAGAGAGCTCAGAAAGTATCAGAACAGAAAGCTCAGAGGTCACAAACTCAGACTACAAGAAGTAGGAGTGATGTAGATTAACAGGGATGGAGGGAGTATCCCTTAATTGGGAGTGCCGCCATTTCTAGGAGATATGTTCTTTGTTATCTCACTGCGATTTTTAAAGATTCTATCTGGTAAGGCATTCCTTTCATTTGATCTCTTATCTACTGCCACGGGGGGAGGAAGCCAGTTCCCCGAAGCTCGACATGCTGGTAGTAATAAGGCAATGCGCTATGGCAGGAGTGGGAAACCTGTGGCCCAGTAAATGTTTCTGAACTTCAATCAGAGCTGGAAAGGTTGGCACCCCTTCCAAGAGGTGTCACCACCACTCTCACTTTGCCGCTGGTCTTCCAGGCCTCTAGGGGCAGAGAGGAACTAGGGGCAAAGCTCTCCGGGAAGCCTCCCCTTCTGCCGAGTCAGTGAAGGAAGGCGTTGCACAACCCAGCTTGGCTGCCAGGCATGGGGTGGAATCTCCCTGACCCCACCCTTGCCCCGGGTTCTCCTGGAGGAACCAATGCAAAGTCCCACTGCTGGGCAGAAGGGGGTATCTGGAAGGGTCTTCTCCCCCACCTGGTGCGGGACACTCCTACTGGAATTTGTGCTCCCATTGCTGGGGAAGCAAACTGTCTCAGGTGCCAAAATGTCTCAGGTCACCCCTGACTATAATGCCCACCAACCCTGACCACGCTGGCTGGGCCTGATGGGAGTTGGAGTCTACACACATCTTGTGGGTCGCAGGTTCCCCAGTCTTGGAAGAATGAGTAAACTTATTAAAGGTAGTTGACAGGGACTGGGAAGGAGAGGAATGGTGGAGACCGCCTCCCCAACCTGACCCTTCCAGAGAAGAAGGAGACAGTTCAGAATTACAACAGGGGTTTGAGGAAGATCACAGCTCAGAGGAAGATGAGGGGGAAAGCTGGGAAATAATGGGAGAGGAGGAAGAAGAAGAACATGAGGGGGGACAGCTGATGGACACAGTGTCTTTAGAAAGTACAGTGGTACCTCGGGTTACATACGCTAACCCAGAAATAGTACCTTGGGTTAAGAACTTTACCTCAGGATGAGAAAAGAAATCGTGCTCCGGTGGTGGGGCGGCAGCAGCAGGAGGCCCCATTAGCTAAAGTGGGGTTCGGGTTAAGAACTGTTTCAGGTTAAGAACGGACCTCCAGAACGAATTAAGTACTTAACCTGAGGTACCACTGTATTCCAGACCCACCCCGCTCTCTCAGAACCTGGTGGGCTCAAGAAAGTAGGAAAGCAGAGGGCACATCTCAGCACCTCTAGTGATTATGCATAATGAGAGAGATCGAGCGAGTGGAGACTCACTCGGAACAACGCCATTACTCCAAGAGGCTGCATTGCTAAGCCTCTCTCTGTGAATATTAAATGAAAAACATTGGTAAGAACTTTCCCTGTCTTTTCTGTTCCTGGCAACCTACTGTGGAGTTTGGATCCTCTGACGCCTGACAGTAGTTGAATGCAAATTATAAAGCTTTTTTAAAAATAAACAATTTCATGCCATTAGCCAATGCACGTGAGGCAAAAACCAAAGCTTTTCAGATCGCAGAATTTCCATGCTAGAGAAAGCCTCGCCTATCAATGATGTGCAACTGTTACAGGCATAGAACCACCCTCCATTAACAAAATAAAACATGGCAACCTCATTCATGCTGGCAGTCCCATAAAGAGCAGGGGCTCTGTGTATATATGAACGGTTTAGACATGGAAAAAAGAGGGATCACCAAACTCAAGGGCCACCACCCCAACGCCTTTGCCATTTCCCCCCAAAACTTACACATTTCTCAAGCTGGGGCTGCCTGTCCATGCCGAACCTATTTTGTGCTTTTGCAGCAGCTTGATCTGCAGAAAATGAACATTACAGTTTTACAGAGCCTGGAGGTAAATATTATGACCAGCTGGTGTCTGCACACAAGCTGCTGTTAAAGGCATTGCTACAGAGGTCAACTCAAGAGTTGGCAAACTTAATTCAGCCATGGGAAAACAACGCTGGGGCTGCGAGGGCCAGGTGCAACACACAGTTCCTGCACTTTTAATAGTTTTGCAGAAGACTGCATTTCAGCAAGTGCAGCTTGTGATGCCACATGCTGTGCCAGGGATATGAAAACGTCAGTTTACATAAATCCCCTCTGCTACACTAGCATTAAATATCCAGGGTTCCTGTTTTCAGTTGCATGTTGCCATTCTCTGGTCCTGGGATCGCAACATAAGGAAGTATTCTTGGGGAGTACTTTGCTTCTATTTGTCTTAGCCGCAAGAAACATGCGGCATGGTGTTATTTAAAACAGAAAACATGGTCAAAACATGTTATTTAAAACAGAAAACATGGTCAAATTATGCCAGCTGAAATCAAGGGATGGGCAAATCTGTCAACTTTGCTTCTCTGAGTTTCTCAATTTTCCAATCATAAATCCAGTTCTTAGTGTTTCTGCAGCAATTTTTGATTTAAAAACATCCTCATGAAAATTCATCAGTATCTTAGTGATTTCTCCCCATACACATTTTTGTATGTCATTTTTCCTCCTCTTTTTTTTTCAATTTTCCCCAAGACAATTCTTTTTTATATTATTTCCAGTAATATGCACATTTATATGTGCACTTTGCACTAATCAATGCATTTCTATACACATTCCATGGCTGGAGAACTGCGTTGCAAAATTCAGAGAAATGTGGATTTCAAAGAATGGTTGCGTTTTGGTTCATGTATTGCTTTAGAAAATGCAAATTAGGTACGTTCACCTTTGAATACAAACTGAATCTAAGTTCAGCCATCACTAGCCATATCCTTGATTAAGCAAACGTTTGTGTTTGCTTCTCTGTTCATTGTGTATTAAGTCTACAATTAAACGGAATTCTGTTTAATTGGAGGACCCACCTAGCGGTCTCCTCCCTCTCTGGGCAGGGCTGTCCTTCAAAGACTAGGCAGAGGCACCCTTTAAATGCTGGCAATGCTTCTCTTTCCTTTGGGGTGGAGTGTTGCAATCCCTCATGGGATATAGCATAGCAGGAAAAGGAGAGCAAAGGCCCGTTTGGTCCAGTGGCCAACCAGATCTCTCCAGGAAGCCCACAAGGATTGTCCTCTAACAGGTGGCTTCAGTGGTAGATTGCCTCCAAACATGGAAGTTCTACATACTGTAACTATTTCAGATCGTAACCATAAAGACTCCCCTCTTCCTCAATGAATAGGTGTGACCCCCTTTCCAATCTTGTATGGCAGTGGTCCTTTGCACATTTTTTGGCTGCCAATTTCACAAATCAATTAAGTGTTATGTGAAGAAGTGCCCATCGATGTTCATGAATGACCCAAAGCTCTGCTATTCGATGGGGCAAAAACCTCTCCAGTCTCCCTATTTATTTATTTTGTTTCTTTGTTTCATAAAATTTATATACAACATATACGGTTTACAAGAAGGTAAAACAATGTAGGTGCTGTATGTTGACAAGGCCTCGCTCCTGTCAGCACTCATGCTGCAGCATCCTGCACTAACTGCACCTTCCAGGTCAAGCACAAGGGAAGCCCCATGTACAGTGCATGGCAGTAATCCAGTCTTGAAGCAATCAGGGCCTGAACTATGGTAGCCAGGCTCTCTCGGTTCTGGAATGGCAGGAGCTGGTACCTCCTTTCTCTCCAAGCCCTGGATGCTCTTGGCTGCCTCTCTGCAGCTGTTATGAAATCCTACAGTTCATTCAGCTGCAGAAAGAGGGAAGGAATTGGGAGGGATGTGATGTTAATTTCCTATTAGGCTAAATGTATTTCTGTTCTGCATCACCTCTTTTAGGCTCAGGAGACTGAGAAGCTTCATACAGCCAGAAAGGAGGAATGAAGTGGCCCTGCTCCAGGTGCCCAGCGATGGAGGAAGCCAGATCATCAAGGAAGACGTGCACCCAGAGGAGGGGCGATCTGCCCACCGTGATGGAGGGGATTCGCCCTCCTAGGGGTGCCATCAGGGGTGCCCGATCCTCTAGGAGGTGCCATCGCCTCAGGAAGACCAGAAAAGTGGCCCCGCTCCAGCGGGAGAAGCAGCCTGTGACTCCAGGTGAGGAAGTGCCCCCCCGCACCATTTTGGGAAAGTCAGGGCAGGAAAAGGCTAGGGGGGCAGCTCAGGGTATAGGATTTGTGGGGGAAGGAAGCTAGTAAGAAAAAAAGTCAAAAGAGACAGGCTGCTGGATCTGGCAGGAGGCCGAGGCAGCTGATAGGGCAGGGCAGGGGGACAGTGGTCAGCTAGTGGTCAGCTGACTGTCCCCAAAGGCCTGGGGTTTGCCACCCCTGTAGGAGGAGTGTAGAAGCAGGGAAATCAAGGAGAAGATTATTAGAATAATCTTGGAAGCTGCAAAGGGACAAACTAACCTGTCCCCATGTCCTTCTCTTGTTGCAGTTGTGACAAAGCTCTTCAAGACCTTCCCAGAGTTTGAGGTTAGTAGTAGGGGAAACAAAAGAGGAGGGACTGGATCCCCCAAACCCTCTGCCCGCTGACTGTGGTCTTTGCCCCCAATTCTGCAGTCTCTGAATCCTTCCACCCCCACCCTCCAAGAGGCTCCCAAAGCACCTAATGCAAATAATGTGGCGTGTGTCCCTGGGGTGTCAGGATGATGCCAGAGGCGTGTCCTGCCCTCTTCCCTGGTGCTGCCCTTCCACCTCTGCCCAGGAGGCTGCAGGGCCCATGGAGGTCCTCTGGGGCAAGGGATGGGGCCCAAGCCTGAGGGAGGCCAGTCTTTCCTGGCTTGGGCCTGCTTGTGGGCTCCCTTGCACCCGTCAATGGTGGGTTTTGTAGTTTCACCAAAGGCGTCTCATCCAGCTTTCTCTTTCCTCTGCAGAAGGCAATAGCCCAACGACACCAGTCCCGTATTCAGCCAGCTCCTGAAGAAGGTAAATGAATCTCCATACCTTGGGACTTTTCACTTAGTAGCTTTATGGTTCATGCCCGAGAATGACCTCTCAGGCCTTCTTACTGTGCCTTGCAGGCCTTTTTCACTTCACCTCATAGGCAGGGCCCTGACTGACTCCAGCTACAAAAGCTGAGGTGGTTGAACCCTTGGGTTTGGGTATTGTTTGGCAGGCTTTGTTGAGAGAGACTGTTAATTCAGTCTCTCTTTTTCATTCTCTTCCAGAGGACCTGCTTATTGAAGACCTAGAATGAGCTTCTGGTGTGCTGCCCTCAGAGACGGGTCGAGGGAAGGTGCTCTGCTATGGTGGATCACACCCTACCGTGGAAAAAAGGAGTTAGGGGAGAACGAGGGCGACAAGATTGAGATTGAGATTGAGAAGAGCCAGGAGAGGGAGAGGCAAGACGACGCGAGATCACCTCGAGAATTGGGAGGAAAGAAACGCAGGAAGGTGAATGAAGGCGGGGAAGGAGGGAGAAAGGATTGAAGAGGTGAAAATGGCGGGGACAAAAGGCTGGCTGTTGACTCACCCTTACCGCGCGAGGAAGAAACTGGAAACAACGGAAAAAATTAGTCCCATTGGGGATGATGTCTATTTAGAACTTTAAAAAATATTAGGAGCCTCATTAAGAAAAAAAACAGAGGCTTTTTCCCCCTTCAAGATAATCTTTATTGGTTTTTTAGTTACATACTGTACATACACATATTGCATTACATTTTACATTTATACTTGCTCCTAGGAGCTGACTTCCCTTCTTCCTTCTTCTGGCTTTTTTATATCGTCTCTAAATTTCTCGCATTTTCCTTATCCATTTTGTATATTGTTGTTCTTCTTCCACATTTGTCCATAAAATATCTGTAAACAAATAAATCCTTCTATACATACAATTCTTGTTGTCTGTCTATTTTCATTTACAACTACTGTTTATTACATTGGTCACATAGTATATTTTATTTCTTATTGTTATTATTGCCCAGTAAGATTCTTTGTATTTCCCATTATGAGGTTTGTTTCAATTCTACTGGTTTCACTATTTCACCTTATCTTTCCTATGTATGACACAAATTTTTCCCATTCTTTTTGAAATTTGTTAGGTAGATTTATTGCTTTATTGTTCGGCGTCCGGCACGCTTCCCCTGCACTCCTCTGCAGGTCGTAAAGCAATTAGCAGAATTGCACAGCGTCCGTGTTGAAAGGGCAGTAAAAGAAGTCCCACAAGTTTCTTCTGTCCTAATATCACTTTATTTGCTCAAAAGTAGCATATTTACAATCCATAAACACCATCTGATTCAAGTGCATTTTTCTCTGCGTCCTTCTCTCTCAGTGTGCAGCTGCGTAACAAAGCTGCTTTCACTTTTCACTCAGCTCACAGCATTCCAAGCTGCTTTCGTCACGTCCTGGCTTACTTCCCTTGTAAGCGCCTCCTCTCAGCCTCGAGACACAGAAGGTTAACCCTTCACTACACCCAAAGTTTCATCGCCCTGTTGTCGAATTTTCCCCGTTAATTTGGCTATTTCTGCATATTCCATTACTTTCTGTTGGCATTCTTCTACTGTTGGCAATTGTTGCTGTTTCCAGACCTGGGCTAATAAAAAAACCCCAGAGGCTTTCTTACCGGGAATTACAGGACCCAATAGTCCTCAGAATGTGAAAGATCTCTTTCTATATGCCATCGCTCCCACAAGAATTTTAATTGTATTAAATAAGAAATAAGGATACAGGAGAAAATGCAGATTATAAAATATATGCAGAAATACTTGCAAACAGGTTAAAAACAGTCCTTAATGAGCTTATCAGTCATGATCAAGCAGGATTCCTTCCGGGCAGAAAGATGTGTAGTAAAATGAGAATGGTCATTGACACAATAGAGTACTTAGATATGAACCTGGTTAAAAAAAGCCGCATTTCTATTCATTGATGCTGAAAAGGCCTTTGATAATGTGCCTTGGAAATTACTAAAGAAAAAGTTGGAATTAATGGAAATGGGGGGAAAGTTTAGTAGAGGGTTACAAGCAATATATGAAAGTCAAAAGGCTAATCTGATAATAAATAATGAATTATCAGAGGTTTTTATATTAAGCAAAATACGATCAAAAAAGAAATAGAGAAGGGAAAATGGATCAGATAAGAAAAGAAATTGAAGAAAACGAGAAAATATTGGCTCTGGAAAGTGAGCGAAGTCCCAGTCAAAGAAGAATGGCAACTTAAATTGACAGAATATGCACAACTTGCAGACATAACATATAGAATAAGAGAACAAGAAGAACATACGTTTAAAGAAGATTTGAAAACGTTTATTGACTATATGAGAAATAATTGTGTACATCTGAAAACGTTGGCAGCATTAAGATAACTTCAACAGTGTAAATAAGTTTTGATGGATTCAATAATAGAATACTGAATGGTATAGTTTTTGTAAAATATGCAGGGAGTTGTGATATGTACAAAGAACCATGGAAAGAGAAGAAGGGAAGTCATTGGTCTCTTAAGGATGTAAAATGAGTATTTTAAATTGTAAAACAGAAAATTTGATAAAAATTATATATACAACTTGGTATCTGAAGCAGGGAATGTTACAAAAGAAACAAGGAACTTAAAGCACACCCAATTGCAGGCCGGGGTGTAGAAGTGGGAGCTACTTGTTTGGGGCACTATGTAGAAATAATGAGCATCTGAAGCTATTGCGTCTGTAGAAAGACTCAGGACTGGCACAAAGAGGACAATTGTGCTGGGTCGGTGATATTTTCACAGAGACTCATACATCTGAGCCATAATGGACTTCTGACTTAGCCATAAGTAACTTCTGGGGATGAAAGTCATTCTGACACGACGCTTTAAATCAAAATAGAAAGGAGAGACACATTTATATTTTTGTGTCAGATTACAGCTGGATTAAGTCACCAGGTCACTCGTGCCTGGAGCCCACACTTCAAATCTTTCATATCTAAAATTTAGCCAGCAGGGAAAGCTGCTTCCATCTGAGTACCTTTGATGTTCTGAACATTAATCTCTGGAGAACACTGCAAAACAGGGTTTCTGCAAACAAAACTAACTCCTTTGCTCACACAACTTTGATGGCATGCTTTGGAATTGAGCATTTAAGGTCTGCACTTATTAAGAAATTCTCCTCCATTTCTGATATTGGTCAAATCAGGCTGTAATCCTTGACCCAAACCTGCGGGTAAAACCCAGTGGATCTTATTTCTAAGCAGACATTTTGTTTTGTTTTCTCGCAAAATTGCTTGCCTGTGCTAGGTTATTAGCATTCTAGCAATCACGGTGAAAATGTATTCTGCCAAGTTGCCAAGTTATGCGGAGATTATTTTTACAACAGCAAGAAGCGTCAAAATAAGCATCACTTCATCATCACCACGAAGCACTGATTGAAAGTATCACTTTAGGTGAGAAATCACAGGCCTAGCTCATTATCAGCTGGAGATGCGCATTAGCAGTATTGTTTCACATTAAAGCAATCTAGACAAAATAACAATGCATGTGACATGCTGTAATTAAATCATACTCCAGGGTAGAGATAATAGCAAATTATAAAATGGCTTGGAAAAGTGGCAACAATTACTCTTGGGGGGTCCTTCTTTATGAGAGTTTATAGACTTTTAAGACTTGGCAGAAAAGTCTCAGTTTGAAATAACTGTGAAAGATCAAAGCAAACAAAGGATCTGACTCATTAGGCAGTTTTAGTCTTATCTGCCATAAATCTCTTTGTCAGAGTTACTACACTTGCAGCCTTAATCCTTTTCTGATGAAACCAAAGGAATTTTTTTTGAAGACATAAATCACGACATTATCCTTAGACCCCCACATGCAAGAAGTCATTCAATTACATACATCCAATTTGCATTTACAGTTAATTAATTTTGGTGAGTGAGCTGCAATTCAGAACACCAAAAAGAAACGCTTTGCCTCCTTCCATGCCCACCGAAAGTTCCAGGCCCCACCCACCGCTGCTGCCACTGCTGCTGCCACAAAGGTGGGAAAGCAGTGCGTTTGTGCAACAACCAGGTGCGTGGGCCCTGGGTGCTTCCAAAGTCTTGCCCTGTTGCAGGGCTGGGAAGCACAAGGGAATAAAAGAATGGGCACTTGCGTTTCCACCTAATCAGCCTTTTCTTAGGAACTGGGTGTCAGGGATGCGGAAGGGAATAGTAGAATTGTAGAGCTGGAACGCAGCTCTAAGGGACGCAGGTGGCGCTGTGGGTTAAACCACAGAGCCTAGAGCTTGGCAGTTCGAATCCCTGTGATGGGGTGAGCTCCCGTTGCTCGGTCCCAGCTCCTGCCAACCTAGCAGTTCGAAAGCACGCCAGTGCAAGTAGATAAATAGGTACCACTCCGGCGGGAAGGTAAACGGCGTTTCCATGCGCTGCTCTGGTTCGCCAGAAGCGGCTTAGTCATGCTGGCCACATGACCCGGAAGCTGTACACCGGCTCCCTCAGCCAGTAAAGCGAGATGAGCGCCACATCCCCAGAGTCGTCTGCGACTGGGCCTAACGGTCAGGGGTCCCTTTACCTTTAGAGCTGGAAGAGACCACAAGGAGCTACTATTGAGTACCGCCAGGGAAAAAAAGCACTTGTGCATATGATGGCAGATTTAGACACTGCTAACGCATCCCATTGACTTAAGTGGGACAGTCATATCTAAATTTTTGCTAGACTATGCCCAGAGTATTTATCGCTTTACAAATGTGATAAAGCAGGAGCAGGGAGATTATGTCAGGCGACTCACTTACAGACTGATGTAACAATATCGTTCCGTGGGATTTCTTCACCGGCAACTTAATCTATATCCGAGGAAGACTTTACAGGCTACCTTGGCTCTGCCATTTCATTGTGGGAAATTAAGCCCACCTAATAACACTTTCATAAGAGAGGGCAATGAATAAAGGCTTGTGCTGAAAGGGAAGGAAAGGAAGTAATAAAAAATTCCATACCGCATTGCTTCGAAAATATGAGAAAACAGTTCAATGCTTGTTCTTCGTAGGCTCTTCTCCGGAGACAAGCTTTTTGTAAATTACACTGTTCGGATGATATAAAAGTATTTCATGTAGCGGTAAGCTGGCAGCCATGCAAGAGCTGGCTTATTAATATTGCATGGTGCAAGGATAATTTAAGAAGCAAGTGCATTGTTGTGTAGCTTTAACGCTGTGTCACTTGCTAGCGCCTGTGACAAGTACTGAAACAGACCGTGATACAGGAACAGCTGGCTCCGTCTTGCTAGGGTCAACAAAGAGACCTGTGCAACTTCAGGTCTTGTGGACTCATATAGACTGTGTTGGCTCCCCATGTCACACTAAACTATGGCTTAGCAGTACATCTGAACAGGGCCTCAGTGCTACTGTCAGGCTGCTGCCAGTGACTCCCGGCCAGTTGCCCAGGAACGTACAAAGACAAGGAAATGAGTCTGACCGTCCACTTTTTATTCAATATTTACGGAGAGAGGCTAGAGAACCCAGTCTCTTGGATAATGGCGTTTTTCTGTCTCTCCCACTTCCTTATTCGTCATTCTCAGTGTCTCTCCTATGGGTGCCGCTGAGTGCCCTTTGCCTTTGAGCTCTTTGCTCTCCTACATTCTTTCTTTTAAAAAATATTTTTAATTAAATTTTTCAACAAATGTAACAAAAATAAACAACAACAGCAAACCAGAAGCCCTAGCAATGTGGCCCAATGGAGTGAAAATCCAAAGATTTTGATTCCACTTTGAGCCAGAAATTCTGTGCCACTTCCAGTTTTATATTGAAATAGAACCTGCTGGCTTCTT